TCTTCGGAAGTTTAGTTTCAAAAAAGACACCGAGATCATATCAAAATATTTAAACTTTTCGAGAAAGAAATGTGTGATCTGAATATTTTACAATATTATAAAATCAACAAAAAAAAGAACATTTTATAACGTTACAATAATAGCTTCAAGATATATTGCATATAAAAAAATTTAATGTTTATAAAATTTCCTCAGCGATCGTATAAGCACGTTGTTAGTAAGTTAGTTGTTAGCAGCCAAGTTCTCTTTTTCTCGATTTTTACATCAGTTAACGGATATAATATTTTATGCAATATTCTTTTCATGACATTAATGTCGTCTATACGGCAGCCCGCTCTGAAAGACGCGTATTTCGATGGCATGTTGCAACGCACAAGGCGAACGAGCATTATGAATGTAATAGGGGCAAAGAGTTTCAGATTCCCTCGCTCAGCTTATGTGATCTTGTTGGTAAATCCGCTTGACAAACAACCCTCTATATGCGAATATCTTAAATGAGAGCAGGACGCTCTCTTATATAGAAGCTGCCTAGTTGTATCATTATCTACAAGTAATAGCTCATAGTTATCCCGCGAGTTACATCTCTGCCGGAAGCATATACGCGAGGCTCTTCCGTGAAACGCTTTTTCCAGGGTTGTTATCGACTTTGAACAATGCCGGACGTTCCGCGATGGCGATCATTATCGATAATTCGGCTTTCAATTACAACCGTTATTCGAGAATATCGCATTTACGAGTATGCCATTAAACGTCGCGAAAGGGAGACGAGAATGGTGATTCCTATTAAATTTCCTTTGTGTTTATAGATGTATATGCAGGATTCATCGCCATCAAGCGCTGTCGATGACAATTCGCGATTGCGAAGTGTAACTAAATTAATATTGATTGTCCCGTCTGTTCGTTACCGCGTTACGAGCCTGCGTTATTTATTTATTCCCGGCATGTACGCGGCAGTCTCGGGAAGTTTCTTCTTAATTATAAAGCGATTTGTGTTGTAGGCAAACAACACGATATACAGTAGTCTAACACGCATGTCTCTAGAATCGATCGATAATTAAATTACCGTAATGACCGCGTTGGGGAACTGTTGAATGGTATTTTGCATGTTAACTTTATTGTTCTTATTGCGATTTGCAATGCATTTTATGCGCCTGCGAAAGCGCCGTCTGCAGACATGCATTTTTGCATATATCCTTTGACGTGGAAAAAGGGTGCGGAGCAGAAGGAAGCGGGCAAAGAGTTTCGTGCCCGCTTTATGATCTCGTCGCTACGTCGCTAAGTCCTCTCGACAAACGACCCTTTGTACGTAAATACCTTGAATAAGAGCGGGCGATGTTCTTATCTCCCATTAGTTCGTTGCGTAATTTCTCATTACAATGCGAAGATTACGGTTTCCTCAGAATTTCTGAATTTTAGTCACCTCCCTCAGTTAATTTTACTTCCGCTCGAAAAATGCCATTAGTACGCGATCTCGTTAGACTTATTATTTATACTTATTATATAAATATGTATAATGCAAATATATTTCGTCTAATTAACGGACGCTTTTATTTCGAGAAGACTCAGGCAAGTAAAGAAAACCATCTTTTTTCGACCCTTATATCAATCTGGATTTCTTACGCTTCGCAATTACATTCATAAGTTATTTTTTAGAATGAAATTTTTTCTCAGCGGAATAAAAGTACAGCAGAGATGGTATAGAAGATTAAAAACGGTTTAGTTAAAGTTCACGTTGTTGTTATGTTGCTCATCTGTACACGTGGTACGATTAACAAAGAACTCTCGGGCGAATAGAGCGAAAAAAATGAAGCCCCATTAGCGGTCTGTCATGAATGGAAGTTTTCGGCGATATAAAAGCTGCTAAAGTTACCCTTGTCACGGACGATGTACCGGATTTATCGAAAATTTCGTAACGTCATTGCCATTCGATGACTTGCTCACCTGGCGCAAAAGCTTCCCCGCGTTTCCATGTAAAAGCCCTTCTTTTATCAAGGGATTGAAAGGTGACTTTAAAGGATGAGGGATGATCGCGATCTCTTCCAGCTTTTGTGTCGCGTTTCCTTTACACGTTTGCTACGTGTATCATAATACGCGACGTCGCCCGTAGAATTACCATACGCTTTTTTATAAATCAGATTCGGCGAGCAACGCCTCGACAATTTTTCTATCATATTTATCATATTTATATCATTTTAGTTAAAACACAATTTTATTTCTTTGGGATTGATAACAAATAATATATCAATCGTCGGGGATCAATTAATTTGTGTAATGAGAAATCGTGTTATATCGAGCACGTAATATGATAATTAATTTAGAAAATTCAAAACCATTTATATACACGAAGAGAATTTCCTTTTAAAATTTACCCAGAAAATCATGTTGATCGTGGGACAACATGGTATTTCGGCAAATTCTATGTGATTTTCTCTGTATTTTTTTTTCTGTGTACTACAATAAATTTGTTGTAGTACATATCAAAAAGATAGTAAAAGAAAATCATATAAAATTTGTCGAAATACTATGTTGTCCTACGATTAACATAAATTTCAGGGTAAATTTTAAAATAAAATTCTCTTCTTTGAATGTACACACGTACATTCGAGTTTCTGTCAAATATCGAGTACTAAATACATAAAAAAATAAAATTCACGCTATGTCTCAAGACAAATTTCACCTGAATTCTTAAATTAAATAGCGCGACTGCAAATATAACAAGTATCAAATCGATTCTTAAGTTTTATTTATTGGACCGTATCTCAAGAGTCAAGACTGGTTTCAGTCGAGTTTTTCAGCGGACTATAAATGCACCTGTAAATACGGGCTTTAGTTATGATCGTTTGTTCCATTCATTCGCTGAGAAACTTTCTCGTCTCTATATTTCATGAAAAATGTCTTATGATAGGACAGAAAGACTTGGAGGGGTGATTTCGCAGTTTCGCAGCGTAATTGTTCGGTGACCTAACTTTTTATTTTTTACATTTATGATTTTTCTAATTGACAAATGTAAGAAGTACGTTGAATTGATTGAATGAACAGTTCGCGTACATTCAAGTATTTCAAAGCTGGAAATATCACGACCTGGATGCTTGTTTTAACATTCTCATAATAACCACTCTCGTGGTTCTATTAAGCTGTCCTAGAATTGTCGATCTTAATTTCAATTTGAGATCAATAAATGCGCGACATTATTACGCGCACTGTTACACGCAATTTATGTGATACTATTCTGTAATACCTATGCTGACATTATTCCGCAAATAGACAACTGCAATACAGTTTCTACATGGCGAAATTTACGACTGTATGATACCGTTGACGTGTTCCCTGCATTTTATCTTGATTATAAATCCTTTTTATTCGGCAGTCGCATCGTACTGTAAATGCGGATGAACTCCTCGTAAGATGCGATTCCTATCGAATCCGTGTTAAATCAGACGGAATGCGAGAACGGTGGGACGAGGGACGAAAGTCGCTTTCAGAATCGTGCACACTCGATATGGAGACATATCCTGCGATTTATATCTCCGCTGATAAAGGCGCCGCGCCGTCTTTCTGTCTAACGTTCACGCCGCGCAGCGTTCTCTCCCACAGGAAGCCGATCCGCGAAGAGGAGGGAAGTCGATTTCTATCAGGTGAATCTCTAAATCGAATCGCAGTCGATTTTTCTGTACGCATGATATCAAAACCGGAGAGATGCGTCGCGCGCGCGTAAGGAGACACGATACAGATTATTTGCATATACTTCGCTCTCTACCATTCCCGTGCTCTCTCCAGCACCGTCCGTTTTGGAATCGCTGCCTGGCAGATATACGATAAGCCATTGTCAATTACCGCACGTATCGGTTTAAATCAACTTCGAGATTTATTTTTGCGATGATTGACAGGCGGCAATCGCGCGGCGGTAGCCGAGGGAGCAAAGACGGAGGGAGAGGGAGAGGGAGAAAGAGGAAAGTGGGATGATGCGGAAGAAGGGTTACCGCGGTTCGGTTGTGCCGAATTGGAATGAAATGGCAGAATTGCAAAAAGAAATAACATTCTCCATCGGCCGTCCCTTCCCCGCGATCTCCCCTGCAACTACGGTGAAGGCTTGTATCACGAAACGATTTCGCGTCACGAGCAGAAATTTTCGTCCCTAGTTTCGTCCCGCGCGGTGCGATGTCCCACGGCTCTTTTTTCCCTCTTCCCTCACCCCTCCCCCGGGCCATTGTTTTTGTCCGTTATGGCGCGCGGATCAGCGTGGAAATATATCCTCGTTCGAGGGTTTTAATGTATTCCGGAATTTCGACCGGCACGTCCTGCTGGGAGCTGTCACGGGACGGATGGACGAGAGATGATGGATTCAGTGAAATTAAATGACGGATCGCGGCGTCTCTTTTTAACTTTGTCATTCTTCCTACCACCCCCCCTCCCCCCCACCGCCCGTGAAACATCGAACGAATAAATTTCTATTGCCCTAGTTGCCTCGATCACGATTATGGAGATTTCGAAACATTGAATTTAAACTGTGTACGTTTGTATCAAAACGTGCACGCGCGTGAGTGGACTGCGGGATAAAGTTTCATAAATTCCTTAAGAGAAAAACGCGCTACGCATTTTCGCTGACTTTGCGCTCAAAGATAATGCACAATTTTCTGAATTGGTTACGCTTTTTACATTTTGACGATTTCATTAGGCGTTATTATTTCTTTCTTGGCATCAGAAAGACGGAAAATTATTGCCTATTTAGAAAGGTTTTTCTGTCTTATATTTAAAGGGAGAGAAAATTGTTTTTAACGAAGGGAAAAATTTTCTCCCTTTCTCTGTCCAATATAAACGCTTGTAAAAGCGTAGATTCCGTGATAAATAATGAAAAATTATTTAATAAAAGCATGACGACTATTTTTCGAATATGTTTACTGATAAAAGGCTTGGAAAGGCGGAAAAATAATATATACTAGTACATACTTTTACAAAATATGCACAAGTAGTATATCTTGCAATACAATTAATTGTCTCACCAGAATCGAAAGTTACTTCGCTGACCATGATCCATCGATCCGAGAAATGTAGTCGCAGCTTAACGAATTTTCCAACTCGATGATGAAGCTTGATCGTGACGTTTCGAGAAGTCTCGAAGATCTTGTCCTCCATGTACGTGTAGGTGATGGGTTCCCCCGTGTAGTATTTCCCGCCAATACTGAAGAGTATGTCGATTTGCGAAAACACCTGTGATCAGGAAACATATGAAAATATTCGGTGCGTTCTGAGCGTGGAATTAGTGGTAGAATTATACAAGTATATAGATATGAATAACTGTGTAAAGGTAATGTTGTTTGCTGTAGTTATAATCGAAGGAATTACTTTTTAATAAATAACTCTAGACCGAGAAATGGCGGACGGTACGGATTATACGGTGAATAAGCACTCCACTAAAATTTATCGTATGTATTACGCGCATGAGTGTCCCGTCGGCATGAAAGAGGAAACACAGTACATATTTCGCAACGGCAAAATTCCTATTCCGCCTCTCGCCGTGCTACTTTTTCACCTCCTGAACAACCGCATCGCATGCCCGTAAATTTTTGACCGCGGATAGCATTTTTCAGGGCTGACTACTTTCGTGGCCGTAAATTCACGGACGACGATCTGACAGGAAAGGAATTTCGTCGTCACGGAATGCCAGGCCCTTACTTGCTGCACCCCGGCGAAATTGGGGTCGATCGCGATGGAGAGATCGCGCGCTGCAAAATCGCGCGCCCGAAATCGATTCCAATATTGATCGTCGAATTTGTGTGATTAACTGCGGCTGCCGCGCCGCGCCGCGCCGCGGTCCCGTCGCAGCTAGAGGAAAAAATTATTTCTGCTACGGTTAAGCGGGTAGCTCCGGCTGATATGAAATAAAACGGATTACGCTGGTGGATATTAGGTAAAATGGATGCCGTGTGCACCGCGCGACGTTGATGGATAGAGTCGACTCGAAAACCTCACCGCTCGAAGAAGATTTACCGACAAAGTAGAGTGCGGATCGTTCTCGGCGCGTTCGGAAGTATCACGAAAAGCCGTTATACTTTTGAGAACGTTATAAAAGTTTAATGTGTCCCTAAAGTTCGATGGAGTATATGATCTGACCATAAATCAACTATTATCCGAGGTATTATCCGTGGTCGCGCGGGCTTTTTTGTTAGTGGAAAGTGTATCGGGGTTGCATCCATACAATATACTTCTGCCCGTCCGCCGTGGGCTTGACTTCACGATCCGTTCTTTCTTCCCTTCGTGTTTTTTCTTTCCTTCTCTTTTTTTTTTTTTTACAAAAGTCCACGTAAAAATATCATTTTTCGCGTCAACGCTAATCGCAAGTCGCAATCCGTTGGTGGATAGAGAAGGAAGAGATGGAGCGCCGATCCGTTTCTCTGCGCGAAGAATGGCGATTCGAAGATTTGAAGATATCCAACGCGTACGAAATCCGTAATATACGGATTCCGTAGCGTAAATGCCGAGAAATGTCGGGAAAGCACGGCCACGATTGTCTGAAACGGCGGGTATCGTGTGCGAACGCTTTCGCGCCGAGTCGTGCAAAGTGCCTGTTGAATATTCGTGTAAGTCACGGTCCATTTGAAATTCCGAATATCCGGCAACGACGACGACGGGCCACGATGGGCAACGAGCGCGATGGATAATCTGGAATTCCGTAAGTTTCGATTAACGTTGAATAATTCCCGGGGTAGGTTCTTAAGTGGACGTTGGACTCCGTCACTGCTGCAAGCACGCCCGCGGATGCCTTTCCTCCCCCCCATCTCGGCTTACGCAGTCCACGGCGGACCCGGAGTAATTTGTCGAGGAATTCTATGTGCGCCGTATTCCGCAGGAATTGGTACGGGGGATGTATCATATCGCGTAAAGTTGATTGTCAAGGAATATAGCACGCGCAGCGGGCGAAGCCATGTACGTAACAGCTTGTAAGCGCGTCGGACCTATAAAAGTTACCGAGTTACCGAGTTCGTGAGAGATAAAGCAAGTTTCCTCTGTATTTGATTTAGGTGAATGTGTATCTAATAACACGAATATAGTTCCTCCTGTAAAAATCTTTATGCAAAAAATTTAATACTCTTGTCAGAAAGGAACGTCTGTTATTCGACAACGCAAAACGCATTTCCAATTTACTACGCGATACAGGCTTTAAAAAGAAAAGGATAAAAAAATCTTAGAAAATTAGATTGAATTGGCTTAATTGGAAAGCAATGAGACTTATCGATGCGATTTCGATTAGTCACGTCTGAGCTACAAAGCTCGACAAATGCTTTTAGCCCCGCGTGCAGACGCGCGAGATAATAACGCGTCGCCAAATTCCTCCGCGATGTCTGTATCTTCTCGTCTCGTATTTTACACGTTCAATAGTACAACCCATAGTACTAGAGAACCCGGAATACATTTCCAATGATGCGGCAGACAGGGGGAGTCGGCCTATCAGATTCGGTTATCCTAATCCGCGTCATGTAAATCCAATTTCCAGAGGTTTATCTCGCGGCAATGGCAGCCGGCAGCGATATACCGCGCGGCGGGAAGACGCGAGATTCGATGGTAACAGCAGGTAGTATCGACATGTCGATGCACCTTGCGCGTAGGTGGGCGCGTAGGTGGTGCATGAAGATAGGTCGCCATAAAACTCGTTTGAGCTTTCCGTGCTACGTTACCATCGAAAAGAGAAGATATATACATATATAACTTTCTAGCGCGCGCATGCATGCGTAAACGTGCATGGATGCGCCCGTGGAGTAATATGCAGTCTGACACGTAACTACATAATACGTAATACAAAACGCATTTCTTAGTACATGTTAAAAAAATGCCGCAAGTACGAGTATACGCGAAAGAAGTACCATGCATATGAATGAACACCATAGTTGTTTTAAAAAACTATAATAGTAGGGCATACAGCGGGATAATTTGAATAGTGGGGTAATTTGGATAATAGTAAGCATTTGCAAGAATTTCAGAAAAATAAGAGATTTTAAGTTACATTTCATTATATCAATGATATTGATATCAATGATGATCATTATATAATAAAATGTAACTTAAAATCTCTTATTTTTCTGAAATTCTTGCAAATGTTACTTACGTATTATCTTACTTACGTATTATCCAAATTACCCCAGTATTCAAATTATCCCGCTGTATCCTGTACTTATATAGTGTTATTAAGTTCATAAATAAACGACATTTTCTGATTATTTCGTATGTAATTAAATAGTAAGAGGTTAAAGTGCTTACACTGATATATATATATATATATATATATATATATATCACGGCCAGGAAACGCGAATAAATACAATTTATCGGTGGAGCGTTATATATCGGATTATAGATGCAGCTCTCGAAAAAACGAGGTAGCGGACTATATTAAAGAGAATCCTAGAATAATTATGACAGCGCGTATACATTCCATTTCGTTCCATTAGCCGACCATGGAGTTTTAAGCATTACGCTGAATAGGTAACGCGCTTTCGTTCGGCCAAATACGTATACCGGAGGGAACGTCCGTCAGCAAAATTGAAACGGATTCGAAAGAGGAAAGAGCATTCCTAAATAAAATCGGCACGCCGAATGCGCGGAAGACCGTTACATCGACCTGGGCGCGCAATCACGCGAATTTATGCACTTTGACGAGGCGGCACTCTCACGCAAATGAGAAAGAGAGAGAGAGAGAGAGAGAGATTTCCCTACTGCGAGAGTCGGAATATCAGACAACGAGAGAATCTGAGCGTCCCGCGCTTCTCTTATTCTCTCTGGCGGAACGAGTAACGCGGGTAAATTCATTTTTCGCAAATAAGCAGATTCGTCTCCCCTTTACGCTTATTACATTACGACGCGCGGGGCGCACTCCAGAAAATTACCTGACTCCAGAATGATCCGCGCATACTCTATTTCGAGCGGATTTTCAGCCCCGCCGGCGCAGCGGGTTTTGATGGCTAGCCTGTATCGCGGTTCATTATCGCTCGTGGCGGACATGTTTCATCGGATTGCTTCGCCGAAGGGGAAAATGCTATTTGGGTATCAAAGATGTGCCATATACACAGCGGAGAAACGGCGAGAGTACGTCGAGAGTGAAGAAACCCGGTCGAGAGTGACCCTGCATTGTGAAGCGCTCGGGTTTATATAAGCTTGTGGCGCGACGTCTCTCGTCGCCGGTATATAAAACCGGCCAACGTGTAAGGGGAATTCGGAGGACGATGATCGGGTGTTAGGTGCCGCTACGTCGAGGCTGCCCCGACCACGAAAGGGTTGCAACGTGGCCGTTTTGGAGGACCGCTGACCGCTGCATCAAAGACCGAGCGCATTTATGGCGCGCCGCCAGGGTGGTGGCCGTCACACGCCGTAGTTTGCGTGGCCCGCGTGTAACGGTGAGCGCGGTAATGTGTGTGTGTGTGTGTATATAAGGGACTTTGTAATTATTGGGTTTAATCGAAGGTTCCGTCGATTTTTCAGCCCGCCCCGATTATCCGAATTGGTTATCGAAAACCCATCGCTCGCGATGAGGCGGCCGTTTTTATCATTCCTTTTTTTTCCTCTGCGAAGGACCCGAATGCGCCGCTCATAAATTCGGTAATAATTCTTCGATGTATCAATGCGCGAGCTTTTAATATTCTCGCAAACGAGCTCGAACTCTCCGCGAATAAAATACTGATTCGCGAGCGCGCATCTTATATCTCATCTTGCATCTCTCCTACACATTACGCAAGAAGTCTCTGTCATGGTATTCCACCTTTTAATGTTCCAGTATGTAACATATATATTTTTGTATTCTTCTGTCTTTATTTATATCATTATACGTATCGCACGAATACTTATTGGGCTTTACGCGTTTGGCACGTCATATGAATTTATATATATATATGATTTTTTGCGGCATATAAACGCGCTGATTTCGATTCACCGTTACAGCGCCACATATATAGTTTGCCATGCAGCCACGGATTATAAAGTATATAATCCATTTATGGTCCATCTCGCGTATGCGCGCATTTTTATGTTATCCACGGTGCGCGCCGCGCGATAAGGAATACCGCTCATCACGGTATTCGCACAGCGAATTTCAACGCGCGGCTACATTCTAATTTACGTTTAACAGGCTATTAAAGTTTATATACATTCGGCGGGAATCTGGGGTGAAGTTGAATCGTAATACGAATGCTACAGGGGCGTGTTTGGAAGGGTGATCACTGAACCCAGCATCAAAGAGCTGTGCCGGGGCGTTTATGCCGGATTGCTCGCCGCGCGGCTGTATTTGCGCTTTGTACAAGATATTCACCGTCCGCGAACCCAGTTTGCGAATGCGTGCGCACGCATGGCTACGCGTCCCCTGCGGATTTTTGACAGGCGCCAAAAAATTTTTTTTCGATTTTTTCGCGGCAATTGTTTCGTCAACGCCGCCGCTACAGCCGGATGTATACGACTCTTATCGAAAAAAAAAAAAAAACAGTCAAGCGGTGTCAGTAGCGCAAAACTAACGGGAGCACGTCCCTATTTGAAGGACCTGTGCTTAACGATGCACTCGAAACACTGCAGATCGGAGTTCGTTACCGTTTAGATTGCTGGATCAAAGAGCACTTTCATTTACAATTTTCCATACACAGGAATAGATGCTACGTTCTCTGTGCGTAATATTTACTTGACCTCGCGGTTGTATCCGCCACGCAGTATCGTCTGTTCTATTTTCGTGCCCAATTTTTAATATAATAACTAGGACATTATTTGCATAAGTGATTCTTTGCATTAATCGATCCAGAAGAAACTATATGTCGCAAATGAAGCAAAGAAAGTTGGCCTTTCGATTACTTTATAGTGAGACAAGTTTATGATTTACGGAAAATAATAATAAGAATATTTTTGGTGAAATATGCTAATACTAAATATTTTCTCTGTTGTATAAATTAATAATAGCCGATTTTTTTTGCATAACTCGCGGTATTACGACGTAATCTCTTCTCTCTCCCTGCGATTTCAACGCGAAAGAATTATTCGGGGCAATTTTACTCGGATCAAAATTCGGTGCTTCCGTTTCTGACAACGTTCAATAATCTCCCATGCATATTTCACCGCACGCGCCGTCGAGCCTCTAAACGAACTGTAGCATATGACAGAGTACGCGCGTGTGTTTAAAGCGGATTTGTCTCGGATACGATGAAACATGCAATATGTGCGGTATGGACTGTGTCGTCGGAGATGATCTCGAGTTTTCATATTTTCGAGTATGAAACGTCATTGGATGATTGTAATACATTAAATACATAATTGTCGACAGCGAACGTTTATTATGGATATTGGCCAATTCTCCTGCCTCTCTCTTTCCCTCGCTTCTCTCGCTTCGGCTCGTAATACCTCGTCTAAATAACGGGTATTATTTCTCTACTCTCGGGTCCTCCTATTGTTACGTTTTATCTCCTAATATAATCGAAGTATCAAATCGCAAAGAGAAAAGTGCATATTGCGCGGTATACCTCGGTATAAATAAAACACACGCGTGCCCGTATGTAAATCGCCGCGGGTCGACTGTCATAATCGACTATCGAATCGTCAGATCTACGTGGGACGACGCGGCGGGGTCGTGATTTGTGGCCACACACAAACAAAAATTACACGGCGGATCGAATTATAACTCGACGCAAGCACGGAGAATCCTCTTTATAAGCCGCCCCCGCGAACTCATTTCCGCGACTACAACGCGCTGAATCACGGATATGGCGAATGATGCGAAAAGTTTCCTCTACCTGCCTCTCTCAAGGAGCATCCGGGAATTGTTTTTCTTCCATCAAGTATCTCTGCTCGAATTTTCCGTCTTTCCCCCTTAAGTTCCGCGAGTAAAAGTTGAAATTACGAAACAGAGGGGTTACATCCCGCGGGGTATGAGGGGTGTAAGACTCGCGGGAGAAATTCCGCATCTATCGCGAATCACGACAGTATAACGTTGGTATTCGCAATCAACGGAATAACTTATTACCGGATCTCGCGTGTTCACAGTATACAATGCGATTTATTACATTAAATTTATCATATCCAAAACCATTCCGCGAATATCAACGTTTTCGATGTTTGAATTCCAAACCGGAGTAACGTATGTCGCTGTAACGTGTGCATGAATTCTCCAGAATTGAGATTCGCAAGATTCCTCGTGAAATAACGCGGCTAATAGCCGACTCAGCGCGATCATCGCACCGAGATCCGTGTGGTGGCAGATATCAAACCTGCCGGAATTGCTGCTCCGCGGTGTATTGATATTCAACGGGCGTCGGTCTGATAAAGCGTCGAGTGGAATATTCAATCAAGCGCGGTGTGGCGGGGGAAAGAAGGGGGTGGGAGGGGGAGTGAACGGGAACGGGACGGGGGACAGGGGTGTGCGTCTTGCCGACCAGACGCTCTGCGCACGACTAAGGTAGACGGTGGCGATAAAAGGTGGAGAGGATCACGAAGAACCGTGGATGGCGAGCAGTGTTGATCGACGCTGCTTGCGCATTCCTGGCGAGGACTAAGGAATAACGTCGCTAAAGCGAAGGTAAACGATTCCTCGGCGTCAACGAGTTCAAGAGGGGAGATCCTTGGCTGGAGAAGTAATTCGATATACCAGCGGCGCGTGCTCCGTTCTGATCACATGGATTCTTTAGGTTCTTCCGGGGGTATTACCCGCGCGGAGTCGCAACGGGCGGCTCGAGAGATTAGATGTGTTTAAAGTGAAGTGTATTTCGTCTGGAAGAACGAGAGAGAGAGAGAGAGAGAGAGCCACTCGACGCTTTTCTGCCTGATGTAACTTAGCTCTTAATACGGCCTATACTGCGCGTATCAATCTTTTAGTAGAGAGGGGATTTGCGTTGTAAACGTCTACTATTATATAACGGTAACAATGAGGTATTGTTAAACGATTATACACTTGCTCTGTATTAAAGTATACAAATATAATAAGTTGCAACTTTATTCAAGATTACTCTCATATAGTTGCCAAACTTATGTGATATTGTTTTATATCTATTTCTGTAACGTCATTACAATTGCATCCTTAAAAGTAATGATATTATTATTTTTTCGTTTTTAAGGACTAAAATGTACAAATATATCGTTTATAGTTACGAACCTGGACGCCTCGGGTGAATTCGTTATTGCAATAGATATGGACGGCGGAGAATTCCCTGACTTTGTCGAACTCGAACTTGATCTCGACCGGTTGACCGCGGCTATCGTTCCTCCAGCCCACCCAGCCCACGGCGCGATCGTTATCAGGCATGTAGTACATTTTAAAATTATCAGGCCCCGTTCTACCGTCCGTCAGCTGACCCAGGCCACGGCGCAGTTCGCCGTCCCAATGTCCGTCGTAGGTCGCGTCGAAGAATTCCCATCCATTGCTCCGTTTATCGCCCTGGGGCATCGAGTAGGACACCACACCGTCTGTGGAAGGAAGAGTCAAGATACGATTGTTGATTCTGCTATTCGGTGATACTTCGATATATTCGAAAAGTCATATGACTGTTTTTATTTCTATATGATATATATTAATAATTTCACTATATATAAAGTTTATATTTATTTGTATTAATATGCAATAATTGTATCAATATAAATTATTATATATATTATATATATATATATATATAATATATATAATTAATAATTTAAAATAATTTATAACATTTATATTTATAATATTTATATTTTAAAATAATTTATATTATATATATATATAATATATATAATTTATATTGATACAACTATTGCATATTAATACAAATAAATATATAAACTTTATATATAGTATACGATTTTTGATGAAATTTTTAATGCTTAGCATTAACAAATATAAATTAAAATTACTAATTTTTTAAAAAACGTATGTGGCAGCGAGTTGATGATTTGCTTACGAAATTAATTATTTATTGAATGTGACAGTAATATTCTATTAATCTAATGTTAATCTAGATCATATATTTTCTACGCATTGCATCAAACATTGAGAATACGCAAAAAAAAGAAAAATTAATACTTTTCATTTTCTCCATTTAAGCTTATGAAAGACTACTTATGAAACATTACTTGCACAAGCGCGTTTGAGCATTTGTCAAATGACCTTATAGTTTAACACGCATACTAATGATTCACTGCATTTCCGGCATTGAAAGCACCCATTCGACGCCCGTAGCTAATTCGATTTTCGGGCGAAAACGGAATTATACGAGCAAGATTTTGAAAAGCAAATTTGCTCTGGGCACGCCGGTATCAGGGTTAATGGACAGTCCGGCGGGTGTACCGGTTCGCGGCAAGTTTCACGAAAATTGGCGAGTGCAAACAGCTTACCGCTCCAGTAACACCCGTAGAGCTCGACCCGCATGCAAACCGTCCGCCTGTGATAGCTGTAGGGTAGAAAACGGATCTTGCTCGCCCACAGAGGCGGCTCCAGCTCGTGCTTGGACTCCAAATACGTGTTCGTGTTACCCTGTATTACCTGAAAGCACAGAAAGCGTCAGTTCAAGTGCAGGACAATTTCAGTTTTCGGTCCGGCACGGCGTTTGAGCTTTAGCAGACGACCGGCCGGCGCGGGTTCTCATTAGCTCTCTTTCTGTAACGGCGTTACATTAACTTCAGACAGTCGGATATTTGAGCACGTGCGCCATTCCCCGTTCTACCGCGCTTTTTGTACCCGCGCCATATCGGGTACGATGCCGATGTACGAGTGGCTCCATGCAGGATGCGAAACGGCGGACTTTTATGTGTACCCAACAGTTTTGCGAGATAAGAATTTTTAATATACCGTACATTCTCGAGCTGATAGCTGTAACTTTAGCGTGGCATCTTATGCATACGTAAAAGGAGAGAAGTCTATACACGTTATTGATAAGCTGTCTCGACACGGCCGAATCTTGCCGTCGTAAATTTCGCAACATTAATGAATTTATGACATCCTTCGCAAATCCACGTCCTCGCGTACATCAATCAGATAGTCCGGCAGGTCGGTAAAAGCATCGGACGCGTTACTTTATATCCCGTTTGGAACGTCGCGATTGTCTGGTGGTAGCCGATGACATTTATATCGTCTGGACAATGCCTGTGCTTCAGCAGCGCGAAATGCCGCTCTCTCTCCTCTCCTTCCCCGGACTTGGATGTGTCCTGTCATAGAATGGACATTGCGTTCCACGGGATCAGACGGGGGCTAAGGACTAATTTCATCCTACATTCCACCGCATTAGGTCCGACAGAGACGCACGGCGGGACAGAGAGAGAGAGAGAGAGAGAGAGAGAGAGAGATATGGGGACAGAGAAGCTAACACGGACGGGCAAATCGAGAAGGGACGAAGGGTTCACGCGGCGGGTGCAGGCAGTAACCGGAGGGCGAGAGAGGGTTGAGTTAAACGTTCGCCGTCCGCATTCCCTGATCCCCGTCGAGGCAGCGAACGTGTTGCCGTCGTTGACGACGTCTCTCTCTCCTCGAGAGCGTGCTGGGGCGACGGTGCAATATTGATTCCACGTTGTGGGTTTATGAATAAAATAAGCGGTTTATCCGACGGCGGTGTGTAGGGTGGTGTGTACGGTGTACAGAGGGTGCGGGGCGTGCGCGGGCGAGTGGCACGGTCCCACGGGATCACGCGAAGTGGCGTTGCCCATGGTGAGTAGATAGCCAGGTACGTTTATATATACGTATAGGGTACATGTGCCGCACACACGTATACACGTATATGCCGAGTTAGATGGTACATATACAGGGTGTATCGGAAGATATGCGTTTTCTCTCCTATTATTATAAACTCTTCTAGATGGTCTCGAAGGCGAGTCCATTCCTTCGGCGCGGATCTCACGACGCGGTCATTGGACAATTGAAAATTAACGGCCCAAGTGCAAATAGATAGCAAGAAGTCGATTTTAAATCGGGGAGTACTTCAACAGAATTTTAATTAGGAGTTCAACGAATGAGATGTTTTACGGTAAAAATTGAAATATTACGATAACGGTAATTTAATAAATTTTTTTTCGTATAAAAAAACACGATTCGCGAATTTATTGAATAGTTTTTTAGCTAGAAAAAACAATACGACATGTGATACATATAGAAACATGTATACACATACAGGGTGCGTTTTCTCTCAATGCTTTCTCTCAAGCATGGTATATTCTATTAGTGTTCGTAGCTAAACCTATAAACGTGTGAATGTACGGTTTTATCACGTGACGATGAGATTGCAACACAATCGTACGACAGAACGTTTTGTGGCAGGCACAACGCATTCTGCGCACGTATCGTGGTCGAACATACGTTCCATGCCTTTAGCCACCTTCTACCACTTTTCGCGGTGCACCCAAGCGCCGACCTTTACTACTATACTACTACTGTCGACGTGCCTACCGTGCGGGACCCTATGTCAAGATAACCCTAAACGTGGTCCTTTGGGACATTCTTATGGGCTCAGTACCGCTATATATATATATTCGCAGGATAAACAGCTGACCTATTTTCACCCCGTTCGCATATCGAACTTGGACTTTATTTCCTGTTTCCCAGCCCTTCTCAGCACGCGATTGCTACCTTCAAATGACGCTTCTGTGGCTCCACAATTTTTGGAAAACACTATTCGCACCCGCCTTGAGTCGCTGCTTTAACCAGCCCAACCTGCTTTCGGTACACATATAGCGGAGTTCAATTACCGAGACGTAAAAGCGGGTTCTTGGGTTTTCCACTGGCAATCCTTGCTTCTACCCTCCACAGATCCGCGCTACCTTTCCCTCCTTCTAGAAACAGACACTTCGAAAGTACTCCCTAAGGCGCGCCCTTACCTCCTTACCAACGGATAGCTTACTGCACCCTAGGTGAAAAACTCTTCGTGTCCGGGGGTCGATTCTTTCTCATTTTATGGCAACCAGGGACCTATTTCAGCTGCGCGTTATGTTGCTGCTGGTTTTCGCAGCAGGGTAGCATCAAGATCTTGCACCCTTGATAGTTAACTGTCTTTGTATGTTCACAAGGTGGAATAATATTTGAAGAAGTGCCTATTTTTACAACAGACTTGATAATATCAAGTCTAATAACGATGTGAATGTACGGATCGACAATTCAAAATGTAAAAAATTAAATTAAAATTATATTATTTATATTTATATATATATTTATATTAGTTGCTATTAATATTTTTGTTGCTCGTAGGTACATGAGAAGTTAAACTGATTAATAATAAGAAATATGATAAAATAGTTCGGATATTGTCAAAATATCTCATATGTTTGGCAATATTACCAATCATGAAATTAACTCGACTGTAGCAAACTTGATTATAATATGTGTAATATTAATACATATATGTATAATATCTGTCATTCTCGTTTTATACCGTACTATTAATTTGCATTAGATTGTTGATTCATGAGCGTAATTACCATTTTCACGAGCTATTAATCATCTAATCATCATATGTAAATCGTCGAATTAAATGCGCTTCATCCTGGCGTCATTACACAAATGCACAATGATTCACGATATGTGTACATGAGACATTGTGCGCTATGATATTTATGTGTATTATTTAAAGAGTCGTTCGTGCGCGATATAATCAATTATTACTTTGTATATTATCCCAATTACGAAGAAAAAAACTTTTGAAAATTTAGATAAAATAACTTGCCTTTGTAAGATAATATCCGCGGATAATATTTACGTTAGTTTTTTTCAATGTTATTTCCTATTTCTCTTATTTTAATTTATCCTTCGTGCCTGCATGCACCTTATACTACGTGCTCATGAAGGTCAAATTGTAAACAATGATTATAGGTACTATCGACCTAATAGCTTAGGGAATATTCGAGATATTCTCGTGCTCGTGCGAAAATGTTATCGTCGTTTTTGTCATGTAAAGAATTGTAGACAATAATTCGTAAATTTTGTGTGAACCATAGTAAAAAATCGTGAAATAAAAATAGTCCCAAAAATAAAAAAAATAATTATGTAGATATGAGTATAAATGAATACACACAATCAAATCTCAAATACTTTTTCTATTATGAATTACTCTCAAGCAGAATTTTTTGATAATCGGGATAAACTGTGATCGTTGATAAAATATATCGAAATCTCATTAGTATGTATGAGGGAACGTGCACAGTTAGACAGAACGTAAGACACTTTTCTATGTCAGAATTAAGGAACGTCGACGGAACAGAAAATGAAAACAGCGAGCCATTTTGCAAACGAATGACAACCGGATGACATGACCGAGCACGAGATGGGACATCTGTCGGCTCTTATACGTCTATCGTGTTGCACCGGCGTTGCAAAATTATGCAGCTGGCACTTTCTCGAGACAGAAACAAGTGCACGATGGAAAGGAGGGGGGAGGGGGCGTGCACAATGTAAAAGAGTCAAGAAGATGCAGCAGCCCGATGGAACTTTATCGTGACGGCTTCTTCAAATCGTAATAGCTGCACGCGCAGTTTACGGCGGAAGTGTATCTCGTAAATATGCATCTCCGATGACGTCACGATCGAAGTGCATTTCAAGGATGCTAGATGTGGTTATAAACTTTCTAAATTCAGACGCCATTTGGGAAGTGAGTCGCTTTCGCGAGACTTTACCGCGATCGTGACATAAAAGTTGGCAGTTCCAATTTTGCCGCGCATCCGCAAATACAATTTTTAGAGCTGTTTAAAAATAGCAAAAATATTTCAAATGTTCAAAAAATAACTCAACGGGGAGCAAGGAATTCCGTTATACATGCTAATTTCTAACGAAAATATTCTTCATTTATCCTAAATCTTTCAAATTTTCAATATACTTGTAGACATAAATAACATCTCCCTTCTGTCTCATATACGTACGTTAGATCGATTAGATCATTTAGATGATATTATTTTAAGTTTTCTTATATAATATTCCAATTATTTTTTAAACTACTCTACGCAACTTTTTACAATCTATTTCACGAATGTTTGCTCTGTGACAGTTTGATTATAGTTTTGGATTTAGGGACTGAAATAGGTTGACGAAAAAAAAATTTGGCGAGCCAAGCGAACCGTGCTCTTCCTCCTCGTGTGCGATTTTGAAGTGTTCATAACTTATGCCCGTGTTCGTTTTTTGCCTGTCGAAGCGCCGTATAAAACGAATTTATTGCGTCGGCGCATGCATGTCGTGGCGGTGGCTGCCTCCGCGAATATTTTCGTGCACTTCTCTTGAATGACGCTATCGGAATTTCGTTCGCCGATGGGCCGATATTTTTAGGACATCCTACCTATTACCGATTATGGTTCTACTATTCCGCTTCCATCCAATTTTTATTCGCAAAAAAATATTCGTTTTTTTTATTTAAAAAACGTGTAATGCTTGGACGATGTATGACTCGATTTGGTTCTCTCAAATAGAGAGAAAAATTTGTCGTTTGGATGAAGGAAAGACATTCTCTTGAGTTTTCTTTACATGCTCCGTCATAAATCTCTTAACTTTTGCATCTTAAATTTTTACTTTTATAG